ACAGGTGTCTTTTATACAGGTAACGAGTTCAAACAGGTGCAATTAATACAGGCAATGAGTGGAGGATAGGAGGGCTTCTTAAAGACAAACTAACAGGTCTGTGAGAGCCAGAATTCTTGCTGGTTGGTAGGTGATCAAATACTTATTTCATGCAATAAAATGGAAATAAATTAGTTAAAAATCTAACAATGTGATTTACTGGAATTTTTTGTAGATTCTGTCTCTCACAGTTGAGGTGTTCCTACGATGAAAATTACAGATCTGTCCATTCTCTGTAAGTGGGAAAACTTGAAAAATCGGCAGTGTATCAAATACTTATTTGCCCCGCTGTAACTCCATTTAATATTTTGTATGTGTGTGTTTATTTGTCACCTTCGCTACATTTCAGATGAAAATCTTGTGCCTTTCACTGCACTACATTTACTTATAAACCATAGGTTGAGGAATCAAGCTGTAGTGTTTCATTTGTTTGTTTGAGATAAAGAAATGACATTAAAAATGTTACATGCAATATCATACACAAAATTGATGCAGTGGTTCACAACTTTTTTGACCTTTAACCTCTTATAAAAACTGTTTGGGGTCTTTGTCACATTTCAGACTTCTGTTGTCAGTGGTTCCTTCAAAGAGACATTGTCCCTCTAAGCCTCTCACATATTTTTTTCAGATAGGCTGAAAAAGCTAAGTCTATTCAATATTTACAGCAAAGATTCAAGAAAAAACAAATAAGCAAGTCTGTGTAACAGAACTTTTTTCTTTCCTACCCCTGTATTTGGAGATGTCCAACCTCAAGGTGGCGAAGAACTGGGTCAAATTGTACATATAAATTGTATATAAAGTAGTTCAAATAAGATCCATCTCACCCAACTACAACACCAAAGCCCATCTTATGCACTGATGTGTTGTACTGTAAATAATGTGAATATATTTTTATCTTGATTCTCTTTTTTTCAGGCAAAGGTGTTCACTTTCACTAATCCTTAGTTTAATATCTTTAGGAGCGATATCAGGAAACGGCAGTGATATGCATAATATACTGTACATCTGAACATGTTTTGTAACTGGCCCTACGTCAGTTACAGAAAATAATGACCCCCTGTGACATTGCATAAGTGTCTGACTGCTTGCCAGCATGTCTTGATCTTGAACTGTATATTTTCTTTTTTGTGATAAGCTACAAAGCTGAAAATCTTTCCACACCACAAATTGCCTTCACTCTTTTTCTTTGTGCTTCACCTTTCATGGAAAGAGGATGACGTGCTAAGAAGAGCACACTTCCTATAGCTCTGTCCATATTCTTACTTCCTGTGTAAGTAAAAGGCTGAAAAACAATTTAACACCCATGCTGTCACAGAGACAGGTAGCCACTGATCCGGCAACAGCGATATCAAAGTGGAACGTCCACCATGAGCTTGCACTGATTTTTCAGCATCATTGCTCATTTACTCCCTTGACCCAATGAGAAAAAAACCCGTTTTCTTCCAGCAATAATCTAATTTGGAATAATCTGTGTTCTTACAGCCTTTGTCCTTGCCTCTTTCCATCCTGTTCTCCTTTTTATATAGAACACAGAGCTAACAAAAGCCTCTCGATGCTGTCCACTGCTGGAACATTTACATATCTAAGAGGGCAAGAGAGACGCTTATTAGGGTTGGCCCATAATTAATCCTGGATTAGCATATTAGGGTGAGGACACACACAATGGTTTGTTTCATCACAGGGTGTTTCACAGTGGGATAACAGTGCTTTGTCTGTGTGGGATCATTAAAAGGATCCAGGGCCATAAAGGGAGTGAGATTTGACTGCACTTGTTTCCAGATTCAACCAGCTTTTGGTCTTTATACTGAAAAGGACAGGACCACGCACCTTTCTTGAGTATTTCAGTTATTTATCTTCATATTTTGATGACAGCTAGAGTGACGAGTGGCAGGAAAGTGGAAGAAGAGAGATGCAACAGCTGCAATTCATCCCCATGCAGCAATTAGAAGACCTAGCCCCCAGGACGCCCCAGGCTCAGCTCTGTTGCCGCGGTCCCTTCGTCCCATAATCAGCACCTCAGACAGGGGTGGTAATGAGGTGGTGATTCTCCCCTCTGACTGGCACTCATGGTGAAGATGATTTTTATGGCTTCCTATTAGAGACGGTACAGGCAGAGTGATGATGACATTTGACAAACCTATGAAACTGTGGCCAATCAGAGACAATGTGTCAGAGGGTGGGTGATTTTAGGCATATTGCACAAGAAGATTTTGAGAGGTTTGGGTTTCTGTTACTGTGTATCAAAGGCCAAGCTGCCCATAACCCAGAGTTGGTTATCAACAAAACTGTGTTATAAGGGGTGCTGACAGAAGGCTCAGATAATTAAACTGATTATTAAAGCGCTACAAGTACATTTTGTTTCATTTATTTATTTATTTGCCACTTGGGGGAAGTCAAACTCAATGACAAGTGACAAGATGACAGTTTCACAGGTCTGACATATTGTTTCCATGTAAAGCTGACATAATCTGACAAATCTCAGTCCAGCGCTCATTCTCCTTTTAGCTCTGCTTGGGTTCCACCACCCCCTGGGAAAAACACCTGGCTCTGTAGCTTCTAGATGTTTTCA